TTTGCAGTCTGATGCATTAACCCACAGCACCATACCAGGACTCCAAGGCAGGATACGACCCCAGATTTGGCTACACTGTAAAAGCCCTTGATTTGACCCTAAAAGCCCAACTCCAGAGTGTTGAAATGGGGAGGAAGGTAGAAAATTCCGCTGCTGTCTCTTCCTTTGATTCCGCTACCATTGTTACAGTTAACAATGCTCTGAATTTGCTTTGTGTCTACTTGCAATCCCAGACAATTTTAGACTAAAGACTGAGATGGAATTGCTCTCTCAACCTTATCCCAACTCATAAACTAATTGTAGTTTACCATTCCAAATGTGCAAGTAACATAACAGCAAAGGAATCCATCAACACAGGCTCGCTGACTGCAACCACGTCTTTTGGATTGCTTCCTGATGCCTTTTTGTTTGTTTGTTTTATTGTGAATTATATGATAGTTTACATGAGAGAACTTTAGTTTTACATTCATTCTATCATATATATCATTTCATTGCCATGGTTCCAATCCCCTCCATGCATCGTCAACCAACCAAAGGGTATACCCTACAATGCAAACCCGCCCCCCACCCCAGTCTTCAGTACACAGTCCCTCTCCCCAATTCCAAAGTCCCCAGCTGCTTCATCACTCCACTCATTGTCTCTATCTCGGGCCTCGCTGCTTCTCTGGGTAGGGTCCTAGAGACCTCCGTTCCTAGACTGAAGAGGTAATCAATCACTCCCCTCCTTGCTATAAAACATCTACCTTTACATTTCCAACCCTCACAATCAGTCCTGATAACAATTATTCACTATTGTATTACAAGTGACCCATCTGCGTTTCACTTCATCAGCTCCACCTAGACAGATTGGATAGTACTTAATGGAGATTCTGCCTTCCTCCATGCCCCCTAGCTCTAAATTCCCTCTTGAAAGCTTGTAAGCAAGTCACCTCTTGCCTTTGTAGTCTCCCCCACCCCCACCCCCCCCCATTTTGGGTATCCAATGTCCAAGTTGCCCATCTGTGTCTACTCTGTGTGTGGAGGGGGTGGGAATGATTCTTGCTGTAAGGATTTGTTGCCTTTTGAGTTACTGCACCTGATAACCTTCTTGTCAAGAGTGTTCTCCACACACAAGACATGCTTTGTTTGCAGCTGGCAAAAGGCCTTCACCTGTAGGTCCACTGTGGATTGCCTCTCAGGAATCCTGCTTCAGTGCTGTAATCCTGGGAAATTACAGTACAAAGGGAAATCTGGGGGCTAACGGGCAGGGGCGATAAGGGTGGGATATTTAAGGGTTATAGGGGCATTGAGGAAGGGAAGGAGCACCTCGTATGTGCAAATAACATTTTCTTCTTAATTACTTCTTTCTAGGATTAATCAAGGTAATTGTTTTTAAATTAAAACACCATGGGGGTTTTAAACTTCAGCAGCAAATTTAGAACCTCCTGTCTTTAGGCTCTACCCCAGCCCTACAGAATCAGAATTGGGTCCCTTGTCTTGGCACGCCTCCAGGTTGAATGATGTTCTCAAGTTTGAGAGCCACTGTATTCTTGCTCAGAACTAAGGGTATGTGTTTTACATACCTCACAATGAATCCAATCTGCTAAACTTAAGTGGCATCGAATCAGTTCTGACCCATAGCAATCCTGTATAGCATTTCTGAGGAGTGACTAGTGAGCTTGAACCGCTAACCTTGCAGTTCAAACTGACTTTGCAGTCCAGCACTTTAACTCAGCACCACCGCAGGACTAAACCAATCCTCTGCCATCATCTATCTCTTGGCTTCTAGTCTCAAAGATGTCCTTTTTTTTCCTAACCGGGCCATGTTCCTAATTAATAAAACCGTGTCCACTTAAGAGAGGTTTCAGAAACATTTGTCTTGTGAGAAAAAATCTCTACGATGAATTTGTTGCTTACTTCAACCTTCTGTGTTTCTAGATTGATAATGAATCCTGTTGTGTGTCCTCTTGTTTGAGCTCACTCTTCCATGTGATATGTTCCCTTTGCATTGGATTCTGTATCCTCACCTGAGAAAAGAATCATTCTGACACATGCATCTCACTGCTCACCAAACACCTCAGCAGCAGTAAAGATGGTCAAGTCTTCATTGTCTTCAGTCCAGTTTTGCTAACTCTACAGGGTGATTTTAAGTCATTTGAGAAAAATTCAAACTGATTCTGTACAGAGTTCATGGGCCTTGGTTCTGAATAGCTCAAACACATTTCCCCCTGTAATTACAGCAGAAGGTAGTCTACAATTGCAAGTAAATGGGAGTCGCTTCTAAGAGGTCAATCTCAGACTGAGCTCCACAAATTCATAGCCCTAATCTAATGGGCTGGACCGCAAGGTCGGTGGTTTAAGCTCACCAGCTGCTCCTCGGAAACTCTATGATGGCATCAACAATCTAAATTCCATTTTTAGTTTATATACACACTTATGGCCATTCATTTGGGGGTGCCCAATCCTCCCAACCAACCCTCCCACTCCCAATGTCCAAGTCATCTGATTGAGATGATAAATCGAAGGGCCCACCTCCCAATATTGCAGCCTAAGGGCCATCATTTCTTCTTGGGACTTCAGTATGACCAGGGACAATGCTTCACCTAATCATTCTTTGCCCCCCCCCCAAGACTTCAAAATTTGAATAAAAGAAAAAAAAATCATTGTTTTTTGGAAATCTGAGTATGTTCAGACCCAATTATTTCTGTTGGAAAGAAACGCTAATTCTCTTAATACAACTTCCCAATACCCAGAAACAGCCTTGGCTCTGTTCTTCTCAAAACTTGTTTCTCTACCCACTCCCCGTCTCCCCAGCCCTATCCAATCTCCATTTTGCTTAAGTAAATTCACCATTGCTTTCTGTTGCTTGCAGTAAATGGAAGCTGAGATACAGTCCCAGTGTTTAATACTATCAGGAAGAAAATTTTAATATGTATAGAACAAAAAAGTAGCTTCTGTTTACCATCTTTGTGAAGCCTGGGGACCCACCATGAATAGTGCTGGTACAAAAGCACTGATCCTTTTCAGATGACACCACTAAAGCAGCAGCCTTGTCAAGTGACCGCTCATCACTTAGGATCTAAAGGGCACACTCAAAGGAAAGTGGCGGGGAACTTTCTTTCTCAACTCAGTCTTATCCCACACAGCAGGTTAGACTCAGATAGGTACAAGTCATAAGCACCTCTTGAGTATAATGGCAGGTAGATTGGAAACGAATGAAATCCACCTTTCTCAAATGCACATACCACAGCAGCCTGCCCTGAGTGGCAGAAACAATGGAAAATGAGAGTCTTCAGACTCCTAACTTGAATTACAGGTCCTGGTGTGGTGCAACAGGATAAGCACTGGACTGCTAACTGCAAGGTCAGGGCTTCACACCCACCAGCTGCTCCTCGGAAACCCTACACAGGACTGATGAGTAAGAAGCAGCCCGACGGCACTAGTAACAAGTCTAGCCAAACTGCCAGGACGAAGGCTTGGGTTGCTCCACGTAAAAAGAAATGTTGACCACTCACAATCAGTATTAACTTCCTTTTCATAATTTACTGGAACTGGAAAAATGTACTCTATATAACAAAATGTATACAATTTAGTACTTATACAAAACATTAATTTAGCAGGATGATACCTGGTTACAGTCACTCTCAACATACTTCTCACTGCCATTTTTGTGAAAAGTTCCGATAAATAATAAGTCACTGGCTGAAAAGTCTTAACAGAAGAAATTTAAACTTTACAGACAACAGAAAAGGTAAATCTTCCAAAACAATACTGCAGACACCACGACTCCAGGGCTCTCCATGCTGCCAAGAGCAGTACCGGAATGTTTTACAAAGTCCAGTTCCTAATGAGATTATCAGCTTTCCAACCAACACTTAGAACAGGAGATGTAATACAAAATCATGAGGAGTTCTTTCCTATTCATACAAAACTTAGACATTAAAGATTTAACAATTTTGCCGACCCCGAGGCAGCCATGAGCTGCTGTGTGACAGGTCCATCAGAGCCCGGTGTGGACGCTTCAGTCACCAGCCTCCTGGCCCCAGGAACAGCGCACACTCCTTGGGGGCCATTCACATGGCTTTTTCACTGGCTCCCTCCACAGCAGGCGTCCTGACGTCACATGCCACAGGAAAGAACACTCTTCTCCAGCCCTAACTGGAGTCGCTTACAGTTTACAAGTTGATTATAAAACAAAGCAATCTCTTGAACTTTCAATAAACTCCTCACATAAGAAGCTTTATTACAACATATACAGATCTGATACAATTGTTTTTAAAAAAACAAACAAACTGGATTTTTCACCTAAATAAAATTGGCTTAGAGAATTGGTGTTTTTCTTTCAAACTTGTGTTTTCCTCATTGGAGTTCTGAGAGAGGTCACATCGTGTTTACACTCACAAGGCACTCTCTTGAGTGTCAAGCGCTCCTGTAGTTTGCGTGGAGAACCCAGGGCTCTGTGTTTCTGAGTCTCGCACAGAGAGACATGGCACAGCCCACCTAGAGCACCATGGCCCTCAGGACAAGAGCCTGCGGCACTAAAGGCTTGCTAGAGGACTAGTTACACTGCTTAGCACATTATTTTCTGTAGTTTGGGAGTAAGAGTACTTCTTCTCTTGAAGAAAGCAGGTCCCCTTCTGAACAATGTTTAAAAGCTACCCCCTAAAAATCAAGATAGACCAGCACCAAAATGAAGTTATTAGTTCACAAAAAAGAAGCAGAGTTCTTATTTCTTCAAGTTCTATAGCCCAGACTTAATAATTTAATCAAGAAATCAGAAATTTTGTCAGTTACTAAATAATTTAAAAATCCATTCTTAACCCAGGGGGAAAATTTCACACCGATCATCATGAACTTCATGCGTTTTCATCCAGACACTTTTTTCCAGTTTCTGTTTGCTCTCAGAAATGAGCTGTAGATTACCATCTGTAATACTTTAAAGCGTAAGATTATCCATGTTGAGATCTTTTCAAAGGATACAGCATAGAAAGCACTGGATTGTTTTTGGATCTGAGGGCCTTAGACCTCTCTGAAGAGCCCCAACCCAAGCAGCCATCTGACTGATCCCGTCTATTCATGTTCAACAAGACATCGCACTGAGCTTTTTAATTCACATACTTTAAGTTTTAGTCCTTTAGAATCCAGTGCCGATGTTTCATTCAGAACTGTCAGGCTATTCAAGCTATTTTCTTTGTGCAAATTCCCTGGAGATCTTGTAGATTTATCTTTGACCTGTGGCAGAAAAATACAGAGCAGTGATAGACAAAAAGTCAACCTCAGAGTTGGGACTATTAATCTGAGTCATAAGCTTTCTAACTGCATATTTTTTGTTTTAACTAGCGGGAACATGTGTTTTGTCTATCCTTAGGTCTTACCTGTTGTGAACCATGTGACTTTTGACAAGATGTCCTGCTGCCAATGCTGCCATAAGTGACAATTCCCCAGCCATTACTGTACCACACACAATTCGGGCCAGCTGCCGGGCATTTTCCCCAGGATTGTCTCTGCAGGCTCCTTGAACACCTAGCATCTAGAGAGAAAACAGCAAATTTACTCTTAACATCATGACCAACAACTGTCTGCTGAGTCAACAGAAATAAGGGCCAGAACAATGGCACCAAGAGCACCGGACTGACCGGGAAGTGCTGCACTTGCAGGAGTGGACAACGCGTCAGCCCCCGGGCACCCATAGCCTGGCTGCCAGTGCACATGCTCAGAGTGCACAGCCTGCCTACAGCCGTTCTCCTCATCTACTCCCTGTGCATTTACTACATACACAAGAGGGCTTCAGAAAGTTAGCAAGAAAAATGGAATTGAAAGATACTGGAATTTCTTCCACAAAATTTTGATGCTCCAATGCATTGCATTGGGCAAATCTGCCACAAAAGACCTCTTTAAAGTATGAAAAAGCAAAGATGTTACTTTGAAGACTCAGGTGTATCTACCCTATGTGTCACAGTACTTTCAATCACCTCATCTGCATGTGAGAGCTGGACAATGACTATGGGAGCCAGAGTGAATTATGCAAGATGTTGGTGAAGAGTATTGACTGGACCCTGGACTGCCATAAGAACAAAATGTGTCTTGGAAGAAATACAGCTCTTTCAAGGCAAAGATGGCAAGACTTGGTCTCACATACCTTGGATATGTTACCAGAAGGGACTTATCTTTGGAAAAGGGCATCAGGCTTGCTAGTGGGTCAGTGAAAAAGAGGCCCCTCGCCCCCCAGGGAGATGGACTGACGTAGTAGCCGCAACAATGGGCTCAACTCTAACAAGCCTACGGACGGCACAGCAGCAGGCAATGTTTCGTTCTGTGGCGCACAGGGTGGCGGTCTGAGCTGACAACAACAACGTATGTCTGAGCATGTCTCCTTGGGCACAAAGGATCCGGATAATGGGAAACAAAAGTGCTCCAAACCAGCGGAACCCTACTGAGCTGAGTGGCAGGTGGTTTCAGGTAGCAGCAGAGGCCCCAGGAGTCAGGACTCAACCTGAGGTCATGCAACTCTGTGTCTGATGCTTCATACCTGCAAACAGGCTTGCTGAGGTAGCAGGTTGGTCCCACCACCCACAGTTCCTATTTCTATAGATGGCATGGTGCAACTGATATACAAATCTTCATTTGTGGGACCACTGGCTTCCATTAAAGTAATACAGTTTGAGCTACCCACATTCTGTGCTGCATCCTGGGGGGGGAAAAAAAAAAAAAACAACCATAAAATATCCTTGCACCACCTAGAACAGCAGAAGAGCAGAAGAGCAGAGCAGTGGAATCCCAAGAGCTCACCTGTCCACAAGCAATGTAGATGGCGGTTACAATGTTGGCAGCGTGCGCATTGTAGCCTCCTATGCTCCCAGCCATGGCCGAGCCCACTAGGTTCTTATTAATGTTTACCTCAATCATCGCTTCTGTAGTTGTCTTTAAGACCTAGGAAGCAAGCAGAGTTTAGGGTCATTCACATGCTTATCCGGAAGACTCTGAAGAGTATTCCCCAAACTGAACTTCCTGTAACTTCAGAAAACAAGAGAAGCCACAGGTGTCAATACAGAGTTATCAGTAATGTTTGTTACTACAATACCACAGACAGACAAAGTAAGATAAGTCATCTTTAATGTAAAACATACTCCCATATATTAAACTTTGATTAAAATGTTAATAGTCTTTCCCCAATGGAAGATTGGCAGAATAAAACAGTCATGTGATCACTCACTTCTCTGACAACGTTGGCTGGAATGACAGCTTCACAAACAACAGACTTTCCTCTTCCCTCTATCCAGTTGATAGCAGCAGGTTTCTTGTCAGTACAATAGTTACCACTAACTGCTAGAATCTGAATTTCAGGGAAAAGCTCATGAAGTTTTGAAAGTGCTTTCTCGGTACCCTATTAACAACATTAAAAAACAAACAAACATTAAATCGTTATATTAAAATGCAGAGACTACACCTCATCTGTACTGGTCACAAGCTCTTAGCTATGACTATTTCTAATCACAGGATCAATACTTCAAAGAAAACTTGCACTGGCTGTTTGGCAGTAACAGTGACTAATTTCTCAATCAGCTGAATAAGAACCATGTTCACTGATAAGCAGTACTGAACTAAGACTACAAAAATGACAATGCAACGTAAACATAAAAAATATTCAATAATATAAGAAAAAAGAAAAATTCATATTCATTTGTAAGTGGGAAAAAACTAACTCAACCAATTTTCAACAAGTAATAAATTTCATCCTTTACTCAACAAATGAATCATAAACTTTGGTAGCTTACTGGGTTATGCATGGGGCCGCTAATGACAAAATCAGCAGTTCGAATTCACTAACCACTCCTTGGAAGAAAGAGGTTTTCTGTTCTCAAAAAGATTTACCAGGTAGAATCCCTACAAGAGTCAGAAGCGATTCGATGCAATGGGTCTATTCAATAAACTGTTACCTAGAAACACAAATTACCACACCAATACAGAAGTGCACTATGATTGCCAGCCTTGTCAGCAGAGGAAACTTGCTGGGATTTGATGACATAACGCAACCATTAGCCTGCCAGTGACTTCCAACAAACTGAAATCAACAGCTCAGATCTCAACACTCAAAAAGAATCGACTGGCAATGTTTAAATCTTAAGCATTTTATCTCGATGGTCCCTTTAACAGTCCTTGTTATTGTTCTTAAGTGCCATCGAATAGGTTCAGTCATGTTTTGTGTGCTGTTGAGTCTGTTCCAATCCAAAGTGACCCTTATAGGGTTTCCAAGGAGCAAATGGTTGAGCTTCAACTACCAACTTTGCAGTTCAAACTGAATTTGCAGTCCAGTGCATAAACTCAGTGTCACACCAGGGCTCCAGGGAGTCACAGCGATCCTATGTAAGTTTTCCAAAGCTATAAATCTTTGCAAGAGCAGAAAATCTCATTTTTCTTTAAAGGAATAGCTGCTTGGCTCGAACTGATGCCCTTGTGGTTTGCAGTACAATGCTTATCCTACCGAGCCACCATGTTGTGTAATCCTTATAAATAGGTAAATCACAAAATAAAGTTCACCAGCCTGTGAAACTGTAGGATAAGCACTGAATAGCTAACTTCAAGGTTAGTGGTTCAAATATACCAACCGCTCCCTATACAGGGACACAATGATTTGGGATCAATTCAACGGCACTTAACAGCAGCAGCCTGACCTGCCAACAGTCTCATTCGTTGGTGCCACAAGAGCGAACTACAGAGCAGAAGCGAAAAGAGATGACTGGGCTCTCTTAACAATTGGACACTATGCAAATCATATGATTCACTACAATAGTAAAAAGGGAGCAAACATACCGGGGAAAATTGTTTCCAACAATTTATCAGACAAGGGACTAATATCTAAAATGTATACAAAACTACAACACCTCTAAGAAAAAGACAAACAACCCAATTAAAAAACTGGACATGAACAGGCACTTCACCAAGGAAGACATCCGGGAAGCCAACAAACATATGAAGAAATGTTCACATCATAAGCCATTGTTGTTGTTGTTAAGTGCCACTGAGTCGATTCCCACCCATAGCGACCCTGTATGGGGTTTCCAAGGAGCAGCTGGTGAGCTTCAACCACCGACCTTGCAGTTCAAATGACTTTGCAGTCTGACGCATTAGCCCACAGCACCACACCAGGTCATAAGCCATTAGAGAGATGCAAATCAAAACAAGGCATGCCACACCAATGTTGACAGAAAAGTTAAAAGAAAAATTGGAAGCAACAAACACTGGTGAGGTGTGGAAAGACTGGGATTCTTCTATATTGCTGGGGGGGAGGCTGTAAAATGGTTCATCCGCTGTGAAAAATGGTACGGCGTGTCTTCAGATTAAGTTGGAAGTAGAAATAAAAATATGACCCAGCAATCCCTCTACTTGGTATGGATCCACAATAAATACACACCAGGATATTATTCACGCACACTGGTGTTTAGCACAGCACTACGCACAATAACAAAAAGACGGAAACAGCCTAAACGCTCATTAAACGGAAGAGTGGAGAAACCAACTTTGGTACATACATACAGCAGAATACTATGCAAGGTTCAAGAATAATGCTGAATCCGTGAAACAGCTCCTAACATGGAAGAACCTGGAGGACACATTATGCTGAGTGAAATAAGCCAACCACCAAAAGAAAAATATAGTATGAAACCACTACTGTAAAAACTCAAGAAAAAGTTTTCATACTGACAGAAACATGTTTTGATGGTTGCCAGGGGTAGAAGGGAAGGGAGAGTAAGTCACTGGTACACAAGTTAGCTTGGGTGACAGGTAGGTTGGCAGAAGAATGAAGACAACATAGGGAGGTAAGCAAAGGCTAAAGGGGATAGAGATAAACAGTGACAATGTTGTCAGGACAACAATGTTATGTGTGTAGATACATGAACAGAGACACAAGCTGAATGGCTATAGAAAGGAAAGTAGGACATAGCTATATATTTATATATGCCACAAATAAATGAGTTTGAAAGAGGCTATTTTTGAGTCCTAGTGTGGCGCTGTAAGCTAATGTGTCAGACTGCAGTCATTTGAACTGCAAGGTTGGTGGTTCAAGCTCATCAGCTGCTCCTTGGAAACCCTATACAGGGTCAGTATGGGTCAGAATCGACTTGACAGTACTAACCACCACCACCACCACCACCATAGGGACTTGCAACTTCTGCTGCATGGAGGGGACTGCAATCACTGAGTGAGACAAAGTGTATGACTGACTGAATGTAAAACTGATTGATGAATGTGTAAACCTTCCCTCAATGCACAATTAAAAAAAAAAAAAGAGCTGCAGATGGTCATTTGCATTTTAATGTTTTATATACACGCGTGACAGTCAATAAAAGCAGGCTACACACAATCTGCTCAGATGTAGATTAAAAGAACTAGACCAAAACCCAGTTGCTATCAAATTAATTCTGACTCACGGCAACCCCATAGATGCCAGAATGGAACTGTGTTCCCAAAGGGTTTCCGATGGCAATTTTCTGGAAGCAGGTCACTAGGCCTTTCTTCCAAGGTGCTTCAGGGTGGACTCAAACCTTCAACCTTTCAGTTAGTTGAGCACAGTAACTACCACCCAGGGACTCTAGCTTCTTAAATACATGTTTTGAAGTCTCAGGAATGAGGTCAGCTTCAAAAGTTACAGGATAAAGTTTTAAAATGAAAATCATAAGACATTTCCCAACTCTTCTGAGTACACACAAAAATGTACAAGGGGACTTCAAAAAGTCCATAGTATATGGAAAAATGGAACTGAAAGATGATGGAACTTTTCCATGAACTTTTGAAGCCTCCCGACTACATAATGCCAAGTAAAAATTAAATATCAAATACAAATAATAATGAATAAACAAATGCCTAACTTATTTTGCCAATTTTAAAAAATTATTATGTATCCTTTATCAATAAACTATGTTGTACAAGAATGAGTCAAAAATTATCCACAGTCTGGTTCTATCAAAACGCCTGCCCATGTCCATGGCTGATGACAACACTGAGCATACGTTTGAAATGATTCCGACCAACAGAGGAGTGACAGTGGACTATGTGGAAGATCTATAAATCAGCCTATGGAATAATACACGACAAGACTTTGGTTTTAAAAAGTTTGTGAGATGGGTACCGAAACAACTCGTAGCAGAGCATAAGCAGAAGTGTTTGGATATCTGCAAACAAAATTTAGATTGATACTTGAAGGAATATAAGTTTCTTTAAAAATATTATTACAGGTGATAAGACATGGGTTCATCACTACGAGCCTGAGAGTAAGCGGCAGAGTATGGAATGGAAACATCCTCAATCACCAAGAAAAAATACAAAACTCAACCATTAGCTGGAAAATGGCTGCTTAGAGTTTTCTGGAATTCTCAAGGGCCAGTACTGGAACACTATCAGGAAAAAGGTTCAACGATCAATAGTGCTCATTACAGTGAGCTGCTCATTGAGGAGCTGAAGCTGATTAGAAGTAGAGGATTGCTATCCAAGGGCTGCAGCAGCAGAGGTATTAAAGCATCCTGCCATTCCAAAGAGAGGTGACCCAACAGACTGCAGAAATCATCGGACAATCTCTTTGATATCTCAAGCGAGTAAAGTTTTGCTAAAGGTAATACAGAAACGCTATAATCATACATTGACATAGAACTTCCAGAGGTTCAAGCGGGATTCAGAAGAGGCCGTGGAATGAGAGATATCATTGCTGATGTCCGATGGATCTTGGCTGAAAGCAGAGACCAGAAAGATGTTTACTTATGCTTTATTGACTATGCAAAGGCGTTCAACTGTATGCATCATGACAAGCTATGGACAACATTGAGAAGTATGAGTATTCCAGAACACTTAATTGTACTTCTGAGAAATCTGTACCTAGACAAAGAACCTGTTGTTCGAACAAAGCATGGGAACAATGAATATTTTAAAATTGGGAAAGGTGTGAGACAGGGTTGTGTTCTTTCACCATACTTATTCAACCTGTATGCTGAGCAAATAATACGAGAAGCTGGGTTCTATGAAGAAAAACATGGCATCAGGATTGGAGGAAGACCCATTAAGAACTTGTGATATGCCGATAATACAACCTTGCTTGCTGAAAGTGAAGAGGACTTGAAACATTTACTTATGAAGATCAAAGAGCACAGCCTTCGGTATGGATTGCACCACTGGACCAACATTCTTATCAATGGAGAAAAGATAGAAGTTGTCAAGGACTTCATTCTTCTTGGATCAAATATCAACACTCACGGAAGCAGCAGTCAAGAGATCAGATGACGTATTGCATTGGACAAATCTGCTGCACAGGAACTTTTTTAAAGTATTGAAGAGCAGAGATGTCAGCTTGAGGACTAAAGTACGCCAGACCCAGGCCATGGTGTTTTCAATAGCCTCATATGGATGCAAAAGCTGGACAGTGAATAAGGAAGATCGTAGAAGAATTGATGCCTTTGAGTTGTGATGTTGGAGGAGAATACTGAAAAGTGCCATGGACTGCCAAAAGAACCAATAGATCTGTTTTGGAAGAAGTGCAGCCAGAGTGCTCCTTGGAGGCCAGGATGGCTAAGTTTCATCTCTCACACTTTGGACATATTGTCCGGAGGAAACAGTCACTAGAGAAGGATGTCATGCTGAGTACGGTGGAGGGTCAGAGAAGAAGGGGAAGACCCCTAACGAGATGGATTGGCCAGGTGGCATCATTGATGGACTCAAGTGTGGCAGCAGTAGTGAGGTTGGCCCAGGATCGGACATTTTTTAGTTCTGCTGTGCGTGGGGTCGCTATGAGTCAGTTCCGACTCGATGGCACCTGACAACAACAATACAGTCCTGATCTTACTCCGTCGGACTTTGACCTGTTTGGTCCCCTGAAAGCAGCCCCTAGAGGACGAAGATTCACCTCTGATGAAAAAATGAAGACTGTGGTGCATTCATGGCTCATAGATCAGCCTAAAACAGTTTTTAATACGGAAATACGAAAGCTTGTTTGTTGACAGATGGAAAAAGAGTAAAAAAAGCAAGGAGATTATGTTGAAAAATGATGTACTTCTCTTTTTCTGAAAGTTGATTAAATTCTACGGCCAGAATGTGGATGTTTTAACACACCCTTGTACACAGAAGAATCTACAGTAGAAATTAATGTGTCCCTTGTGTGTGTCTCCTGCTGTAGTCCCTTCCTGGGACAAGTGCACCTATGAGTTCTGTGCACTCTTGATATCCAGTCTCCGTCCCGCTCACCTTTGAGATCATGTTCATCCCCATGGCATCACCTGTCCTGGACTGGAAACGAATATAAAGGTTGCGTCCAGCTAGACTCGTATGGATTTTCTGCAGACGTGCAAATCTACAAGCAAAAAATAAAAATAAAAATAATCCAAGATTCGTTTTTAAAGAAGCTTGAAGTTATTTTAAAATTTAGTTCAGTCGCCTCATTTTACACCAAGGCCAAGCTCTTAAGGCATACACCATCTTTAACTGAGTAACACATTAAGGAAACTACTCGAACCATTTTGTTCCTCAGTGTCATAAGACAGAGCACCAGGTTGTCACTTCTAATTTGATGGGGCTTCAAAAAGTTCATGGAAAAACAAAAGATAATGGAATTATCTTTCAAAGATAAAGGAATTTTCCCACAAAGTCTGAAGCCCCCTCATAGATAAAACTTTTAAAAAGTCAAAACAAACACAAACATACTAGGCTTGAACTATACTGGGGTATTAATTTCTATTCATCATGGATCTTCGTAAATTCAATTTTTTGCATTCAAAAGTAAATCAATTTTACTAAGAATTAGTTCTATCCTGCTTGTAAAAATCTTTCTGCTCTAATCAATTGAACAGTGCCTCACAATTCTAAGTCAAAGTCAAAACTCCCTCAGGGTAACGTCACTGTCTAATCAATAGGAGCCTTCTAAACCCATCACCACACAAAACTTCCTAGCTCACACAAATTTTTCCTCATACTTTACCCTAAGGGTGCATTCATTTAGATCTCATTTTGAGTGAATGGATTTAAAGTTGGGATTTTGTGATGGCATCTTCAGAAGGTGATAGTTTGGTTTAGCAACCACAGAAATCGACATCAATTATGAAATGAACACCCAAACCCACTCACATACCTGCTGGTGCTGTCAAAAGCCTCCTTCATCACTGTGAACCCATCAGGTGTGTCAAGCCAGCCTTTCACTTCTGCAGAGTCACAGGCCCGGGGCAGGCGCACCACAGGGCCACGGGTCATCCCATCAGCAAGGACTCGGCTGCTGGCACCTCCACCAAGCTACACACAGTAGGTTACAGATGTATGTGTTAATCCTGAAAGTACTCCTACTTGTCCTCAAATCTCTTTTTGCTGCCTTGCCTAGGAGGTGTTATCTTAAAACAGGCAAATATATACATGCCTACTTACACCTATGGCTCTGCAGCCTCTGTTAGTGCTGGCCACAAGACAACCTTCCGTTGTTGCCATTGGAACCTGAAATTCCCTTCCATCCAAGCACAATGGGCCTGCCACTCCAACAGGGATAGGCATGTAGCCAATCACGTTTTCACAGCAAGCTCCCATCACCTAAAAGGTAAAATCAGGCAGTAAGCAAACATCTGTATTATATGTACTCAGTAACTCATCACAGCCATGGTCATTAATGACTTCTTCAAACTTAATTCTTTAGTCTATTTTTCAAAAGATGATTTTTAAAATATATGCATTAAGCATGTTTTAAATAATAATATTTAAGTAATAAACAACAGCAAGAAAAATATTTAACATTTTCATGATCTACATGCTGAGGCCTGGCAGTCTGCTTCCATAAAGATTGGGACAGTTGCCATCTCTAATGCAGGAGGCTGCCCTGAGTCAGACTTGACATCATAAGCAGAGTACAAAGTTACATTAAAAAAATCTAAAGTGAAATCAAAGATTAGATAAGAAATAAAGATTAAAAAGTAATAAAGCAGATCCTTTCTAATCAAGAAAATAACCTACCAAGGAGTAATTATAGTCCCTGTAAGGTAGGTACTGGAGAGAAGAAGGCTCTGGAAGCTTTCTGGAAAGCAACTGTCGGCGAATAGATACACCTCGTTCATGGGTTTCCATCATAGTTTCCAATTTGTAAGCTGGGATATGCTTAGCATGGACTAATCGGATGACTTCAGCATCACTAAGGAATTTTGCACCTTTCTAAACAAATGAGGGGAAAAAAGGAACGAAAGATGATGATGATAAAGATTTAAAGACTACACTTTATTATTCATAACAATCCATTCAATACAAATAACTCCTAATTAAAATAAAAATCATTAATAGCATCATAGCCTTAGGGTTTTTTTTTTTTTTTTTAGTTTTTATTGTGAATCATGTATTAGTTTACGTAGGTAAACATTCTTTAGAGTCATCCTGTCATATTTTGTTTCATTGCAATGATCACAAATCCCTGCATGTATCATCTAACAACCAAAGGGTACGCCCCATACACCTGCCCCCAGCTGCTAGCACACAGCCCCTCTCCCTCCCTGAGTACTCAGTCCCTCCTGTCCATGTCATCGTCTCTGCCTCCATCCCTAGTGTCACTGCTTCCCCAGAAAGGGTGTCGCACTTTGCTTTTCTCCCTGGATGGTTCCAGGGATCTCAGCTCCTGGACTGCAAAATTAGCCACTCCCCTCCTCTTGTTAGCAAACATTTACGTTTACTGACTGTCAGACCTGATAGCAATCATAATATTGAGCCACAGGAGTCTTTTCCCCCTCACCTTTTATCAACCCCATCCAGACAGGGTGGAAACAATTCAGTGGAGGTTCTTTCTACATTTCCCTGTATCCTCTGGAGCTAGGTTACAGCCTTAGTTTTTGTAAAACAAAGATATACTTGCGTAATAAAATAACTTCTTATTGTTTGTTATT